CTCGACCAACGAATCTCTTCTTCATACACTTTCGTTTGAAATGAAGTTCTCTCTAACAATGTTATCTCATGAGATTCATCGAAACCCACTTTTTCTTCGTATCTAAAAATAAGGCAGACTTAAAAAAAGTCGAAATGGTCCTGCGGAGAAGGTGGAGGGGGCGATGTCTGCAAAACTGGCAAGTAGGAAAGACGAAGTGACAAAAGATTGGCTGGAACAAAAGTGGTGAGGAAGGGCAGTTGACGGAAGCAACCAGTCAGCCTGACGGCCGGGCACTAGCCGATACTTGAGTCTCAGGCAAGTGTGCAGTAATTGGCGTGTGAATGTTCAGGATCAAGGAAAGGAAGCAGACAAAGCAGCGGGCCGAAGTGAACGGATAAGTACAGGCTCAGCCAAACCGGAGCAAGACGTAAGAACAAACAGGACAGACACAAAATTGCAGTGGATGCATCCTCGCGGCCTGTCAGAATTAGGCCAGTCGAAAGGCTGGGTTGGTACCAAAGTAGGCTTAACTACAACGTCGGCGAGGTCCAACTGCACTTGACGCATGCCTTGGACACAAACAGCCTGTTCGATGCTACCGGACGTCTTGCCAGCAAACTGTCTGGCTAGGCTTAAGGCCTTGATTCGAGGCCGGGCAAACGAGGCCAGCCCAGAACGCCTCAATGCCAGTGATCCGTCGACAAGGATGACCCCACCGCTTGTCCACAAAGAGCTCTTGCTCCAGACGGCTACAAGTAGTCGCCATAGACTCAACTCCAAGGTCGAGATGTATTGACCATCGGCTTGACATTCTGTGTGCGATAATATTGATCAAAAGACAAATAATCAGGGAATACTAGTGAATTGAGGTTATATGATTGGTCGACTGGTGATATGGAGGTGTTTAGGGACGAATGCATGTCTACCCTGTAAAGTTACCTCCACATTTTTATTGTTGCACTGTTTAGCTTCGGTCTAGGTCGACAGTGCTGCCTCGCGACTTTACATGCGCGTTAATGTCTTGAAAGCCAAAAATCTTTAACCCAATTTCGTTAGGGCTGTATGACCTACCAGCAAGGTGGCTGTCTCCGAAATCCTTT